CATTTTTTTGTAATTATGAGAGGTTGATTAACCATTTTTATTGTGGAGGGTGTCAATCATGGATATTATCATCTTCATTATTTTAATTTTAGATAAATACATGAAATAGTTTCATTAAAATTTCATTAAGTAGTATATGAAACAACTTCGTCAAAAAAATTATTATATGAAACAATTTCACATGATTAATAATTTCATGAAAAAATTTCATAAGATTAACGACGGATGCGAGTAGTTTTTACGGTTTTTACAAATTGGAGTGGTTTTCATTTGATCGCTCCTCTATGTATGTATGTATATATATATATATATATAGGGAATGGTTCAAACGAGAACACCTTTATTTTACGAGAATGCAAGAACATCTTTTTACTATTGATAATCACATATGATACTAAATTAGAGACGCGGACGTTTTTCGATGCGATCTTGGTTGCGAGACAAGTCGCCCTTACACCACTAAGCCCCCTCACAAGTATTATCACATGTGATAAGGTTGTTGTTAATATGATACTATAATCCATCAAGACCATCATATGTGATGCTAAATCATAGACACAGACAACCTTTGGTGCGATCTAAGTCATAAAAGACGTCGTCCGCACATCACAGGGTCCTCTCACGCGTATTATCACATGTGATAAGGGTGTTCTTGCGTTCTCGTAAAATAGAGATGTTCTCGTTTGAACCTTCACACACACACACACACACACACATATATATATATATATATATATAATCCTTGGATTTTCTTGGGTTAATGAAGAAAAGACTATATTACCCTTGGATTTAACTGGGTTAATGAAAAAAAATTCTATTGGAGGGAGGACTCAATCAGTACAAAAATGCATAGCAGTTATACTGATCTGTATTTATTTCAATTTGAGACCACTATAGATAGAAAGTATAAACCAGAGGTAATTTGCTTCTAAATCAAATGATGTATCAAATATGTGAGAGAACATACAAATTCAAAAAACAAGATTAGGACGAGAGAACAACTACGTGACTGAGTTACAAATAGTAAAGGAATTGGTCTTCTCATGACTGAGTTACAAATAATAAAGGAATTGGTATTCTTAGTCACGTTAGAATTAGGAAAAAAAAAAACTCAAAAGTTTGGACAACTATAATTAATTAAATATTAATTAATAACTAGTTATTTATTAACTGTTTAAATATATAAAAGTTGATACAAAGACTCAAAAGTTCGATCCTAAGGGATTGTTTATTTATCTTTTAATAGTTCAATTAAGAGGCAGACTATGAATCGTTAAGAGGTAAATCTTGTTTGACAAACAAAAAGTCTGCATCTTAATGTTTCTAAAACCCTCTGAATAATTTTGTATTATGGGTCTCCTTTAACCATTAAGAGCCCTAATTTCATTGTAAACAAATTACCAAACAATAATATTTTATTTTGCACTATATCATGAGAGCCTCTTAATCATTCTGACCACTTAATCATTATGCACCAAACCATTCAGCAACTGTCAAACAACCTCTAAACGTTTACTTTTAAAACTAAATAATTATTTTAAAATAATTACTCAAATACGAAGTATGTTGCGGTTTTTGAACGTTTCTCATGACTTCACCATGTTAACTGAAATGATAATACAAACTAAATGAAGTTGAAGCAAAATATCGTTTGAGAAGGAAAGTTATGGTGAGAAGCGTAATAAGAGATCAGAACTCTTGATCATTTTTTATTTCATGTCTACCCATGAATTCCGCTTTAGAAGGGAATTGATTTGTTGCATCTCAGATTCTCGGTGCACCTAATTAACGTTGACATTCAATTATAATTGATCTAAAAGTGAAGATTTTTTATTACGCTTTTCACCATAATTTTCATTCTCACTGGAACGGCAGAACCCAACCCATTAAGTTGATACTAATTTACTTCCCTAATAACCTTGAGGAGTTGGACCATCTCCAACCCAATACTAAAAATACAAGAACAGTGGTGTTTTCATCTTTAACCTAGCGCTAAAACACTAAGGCATTGTTTAACAAAATAAGCTATAAGCTAGCTTATTTTCTGGGTACATGTTTAGATGAACATAAATTAGCTTATTGAAAAGCTATTTGAAGTAACATTTTGTAGTTTATTGTCACTCTTTAATTACTATTGCTTATAAAAAAATATTAATAATATTAATTATTAATTAATATTAATTATATATTATACATTAATATTATTTACTAATTATTTACGATAATTATTAAT